GTATGTAAAATATCAAACAAAGTTATTTAAAATATTTATTTAATTTTAAAAAACAATTTAAGTTTTTGAAAAATCCAGCAAAGAGTTGCATAACTTTTCTGGCTATTATGAGATCTTATTTAGAAAAAACTTTTATAATTTTAATTACTATAAAATGGTAAAAGGCTTAATTTTGAGGGTAGGGATGAGTTTTATAAAAAAAATAAGTATAAATGTTAATAATGAGTAAAATCATCATTAAGTCTGACCCTACAGGAGATACACACAACCCCCTGTATCTCCCCACCCTGACCTTTAACCACTAAAATTTAATAGCATCAATGCCACAATGCCAAATTTCATTACTTAATCTTCACCCTATCCTGAGATATTAAGCAAAACACAAGCACACACATCCATGGAATTTTTTGCCATTTTTGGATTCAGAAAGTCTCAAAACATGAAGATTTGCAAAAAACTCTGAGGGTCAAATTTGACATGATTCCAATACTTTCCCTTGTTATGTATACATAACAGCCAGGAAAGTAAAAGAACAGAGAGAGTGAGAAATAGTGAATTTTAAATCCTGAAAGATTAGACTGCAGTGAAAAATTGACTACTGAAGAAATCCTCTGAATTTATGAAATAACTAGAAAATGAACATGTTATGCATGAAGGATTCAGACTATTTGCCTGATACATTAAAATGACCATCAGTAATATTATATCAGTGCTCTAGAAAATACTATAGTAATGGTTTATTTACATTTAAACTTTTTAAAATAAATATTCCATTCAAGAAATTTTTTTCTAAAAAAATAAACTATTTCTTTGTAATTTTATGCATTTCTCCAAATTGGTTTGAAATAAAACACATTTCATTTTATTGCTAATAAGTAGATAATTAACCTATCCAATGTTAAAATTCTACTCCGTTGTCTGTGATGTCATGTCGAATTTTGTCGATCTTAAGCCTAACATAAACTTTTTAAAAAAGTAATCATGGCTATTTTATCATCCAAAATTATTTTTTTATTTTTCACAAACAAAATAGATATATTAATAAATATAAAAACAAAAAAAATTATATTTTGGAAGTTAGTTTTAATATAAAAATTATAAAAATTAGTGACATCTAGTTCCAAAAATGTGCCGATAGTGTTATGAGATATCTCGAGTCAACCAGTCAAGATCAGAGGTCATGACCCCAAGAATTGTTAGGAATAACACAGGACGAGTTAATTATAAATTATTTTAATTAAGTAGATTACTGATTTCTTTGATTAAATTTGAAAGAGTAAATTGGAATATTTAAATTTTTACAAAGAAATAGCACAAAATAAATTAGAAACATTCATGAAAAATTCCCAAAAATCAAAATCTTCTACAAGCTGAGGTTCTCTAGAATATTAAGTATACTACAAAAAATACAGTAATAAGTTGTGTAACTTTCCTAACAAAAGTTAAAACTGTGTGTGGTGTCATGTTATAAAATTTTACTTTAAAAACTTTTTATATTATTATTTATCAGGTCAGTCCATAAGTTCGTGCGCATTTTTATCTACAAAAAAAGAAACAAAAATTTTTAACTAAATTTTATTTCAATCTATAATGTATTCACCATTATTTTGTACAATTTCTTGCCATCTTGATGGTAGCTTTTTAATCCTGTCTTTGTAAAATGATTTCGGTTTTGAATCAAAATATTCAGAAATAGCCTTTTTTACATTGTTCTCATCCTCAAAAGTTTTTCCTTTTAAAAAATTCTGCAAACTCCGAAAAAGATGATAATCACTGGGAGCAATATCTGGCAAATATGGT